GGCATTGAAGACCCAATTCCTTGGTATTGAACTATAACTGAAAGGGGCCTATCCCAATACAGAGCCCGACCCCTCTGTATTGAGTGGAATCGGACCCGACTGCCTCTTCACCATGCACAAGCGCCCTCTTCTCTGTGGCCGGCGAGCGCCCTCTGCCCCTCGGCAGCGGGTCAGTGCCCTCTTCCCTATCGGCAGCGAGCGAGCGGCGGCGTGAGTGGCCTCTTCCCCGTCGTCGGCGGCCAATGCCCCTCTTCCCCGTCGCCGGCGAGCGCCCTCTTCCCTTCGGCGGCGGGCGAGCGGCGGCGCGAGTGCCCTCTTCCCCATCGTCGCGGCCAGCGCCCCTCTTCCCCGTGGTCGGCGAGCTCATTTTCCTCTTCCCCATGCCCGGGGAGCTCCTCTTCCTCTTCTCCATGGCCGGTGGCGCGAGATCTGCTTCCTCTTCCCCCTAGATGACGGCGCGACCTCCTCTTCGTCTTCCCCATGGCCGCCGACCTCGTCTTCCCCATGGTCGCTTCTATTCATTGCTCACTTCGCCGCCGACCAGTTGACCAGACTATTCGTCGCTCCTGCTTCATCGCCAGCTATGCCGGTTACTCCTCGGCGTTCGGATTCTCCATGCTCAAGGACTAAGTGGGCACACTTGACCTCACGGACATCGCTAGCTACGCCGGGGACTTCTCGGAGCTCGGACATCGCCGCCTATGCCGGGGACTCCTCGGTGCTCGGACATCGCCAGCTATGCCAGGGACTTCTCGGTGCTCGGACATCGCCACCACGCCGTGGACTCCTCGGTGCTCGGACATCGCCACGGTGATGCCGGGGCTCGGTACTCGGACATTGCCAGCCGACGCCGGGACTCCTCGCCTCGGTGTTCGACATCGCCAATGACGTCGGGGACTCCCTCGCTCCTCGGTGCTCGACACATCGCCAATGACGCTGGGGACTCCCTCGCTCCTCGGTGCTTCGACATCGCCAATGACGTCGAGGACTCCTCGCTCCCTCGGTGCTCGGACATCGTCACCACGCCGGACTCCTCGTGCTTTCGGACATCGCCAGCGACGCCGAGGACTCCTCGCTCCTCGGTGCTCGGACATCGCCAGCGACGCCGAGGACTTGTCACTCCTCGGTGCTCGGACATCGCCAGCGATGCCGGAGACTCATCGCTCTTCGTTGCTCGGACATCATCAGCGACGCCGGGGACTCCTCGCTCTTCGATGCTCGGACATTGTCAGCGATGCCGGGGACTCCCTTGCCGCTCGGATCTTGCTACCGGTGTGCTATCAAGCTGCTCCATGCTGTTCGGATCAGGGTGCTGATCTTAGGCAGCACGTCTGGGGTCTTGATACGCGCATGTCAGACGACGTCGGCAAGCTTTCAGACTTCTTTTTCTTTGGCCCTGCTATAAGATTTATTCTTCATCTTCTAGCAGGCTCGGGGACTAAGTGGGCACACCTCACCTTGCGGTGAATGTGCGCTTTTCTCATCTCGAGGCTACACCAGGGGACCGGCCGCTCACTCGGTCTTCTTCTTTTCGACCACGGCACCACGTGACTCACGCCACCCATCGAGTCAGCTCGGGGACTAGCTGTGGGGGTATGCCCCCCCCCCGGTATCCTCAAGACAAGACATGGGCCACACCATTAGAGGCGGCCCAGCCCACAAGATCAAGGCGTGCACGGCGCTGCTCGACGTGCACCGCAAGATATTGTAGAGTACCAAATATGATACTTTCCTTGTAACCCTACCCCTCCAGAGTATATAAGGAGAGACAGGGGTCCCCTAGTGGATAGATCTACACATCATGTATTCAATACAATACACCAAAGACACATGACGTAGGGTATTACGTCGATCAGATGGCCCAAACCTGTCTAAATCGCTATCTCTGCGCCTTGTGTCACCATTCGGTTCCTGATTACGCGCATCCCCACCGACAAATCTACCTTCGTGGGATACCCCTCGGAGGACTGCCGACGATATTCTGTCAATAGTCGAGGTCCCCTCATCGTTGCTAGGGTCAAGCTCCCCCATGGCCGCAGTTGAGCTCCCCTGCCATGGCTCAACATTTCAATTCCATTCTTTTGCATCCAAACAGAAAACGGTATTGAGCTACTTGCTAGGATTCCAAAAGCCAATTCAATGGTCATCCAAACAATAGTATTCGAATTACAACCATTTCAATACCATGGCTGTTTTGGTATTGAACCTAATTTAATTCCAGCTCCTCCAATATCTACATCCAAACAGACCCTAACAAATTATGGTGAGTTCAAGTAAAGAAGAATAGAGTACCTCTGGATCATCAAGTAGTCTAAGAGGTGTTGGGTCATGGCTTAGATGGTCCCTCACAGCTTCATTGTATATCTCTATGGCCGAAAATTTCAAAATGAACTCTCTTTTAGGATGCTGCAGCATGGAGAAGAGGTTCAAATGCAAAGAAACACTAGTAAATTCACAATAGCGTTCCAAAAAATATAAAAGTGAAAAACATGAAGATACCTTATCTATGTAGTCATAGATGTCAAGCATACTATACTCTGTTATTCCTGTCATTGTATAAGTCTTTCCGCTGCTTGTTTGTCCATAGGCAAATATGCCTGCTGCCAAGAAGAAGAAATGCATGCCAAAACATGTGTTAGCTCACATCGGTTCATCACCGAAAATGGAAGTGGCAGAACAAAACTGTTTCTCTTGTGCATACAGTTAATTCCGCTGACAACTGAAAGAGCAACTTCTTTTGCTCCTTCCTCATAGACTTGTCGTGTAGAGCAACTGGGGCCAAACACCCTATCTGATGGGGACAAGAAACAAGCACGATGTGAGCAAACAACAGCCAGTAAAATATCTAAAGAACACCAACTCCTCCTTTTTGTTCCAAAAAAATCACCAACGATTTAGTGAACACCACTGCAACTGGTAAGTTAAGGTATTCTAAATTTTGCAACAAAAAATGAACCGAGCTCTGCTGCTGCTACTCACTGTAGGTGTAGGCGGTGGGGAACTAATAAATTCTAATGGAGTGATAAAAAGCTATAAGCCTAGAACAATACGAAGTAGTACCAATGAAGATGAGGAATGCCCATGATTGTTTTCCAGCAGCCAAATAAGTAAGATAAACAAATACATAAAGAGAACAATGATTTCAGATGCGATGCACATACCATGAGACAAATTTAGCCGGTTGGTTAGTGAAGAGTGAACTAATTAAGCACCAATGCGATGCACAAACCATGCGATGCAAGTAGAACCTGAAAAAAGGATCGCAGCAAGCACTGAACTTCAGTAGGGATTCTACTACGATCTGAGATGCACGAATTAGATAAATGAACAATAGATCAAGAAACACTGAAACCAACAGCTGACACATGGTTCACCAAACTTCAGTAGGGATTCTACAGCGCGCTAATCCTAGGTCAAAACTGATTTCCATCTCCCACAGGCATTTGAGCAAACAGGTGGAGCGCATGCTATTGCATACCTTGGAGCACGGGAGTAGCACCACGAAGGCAGCCCCGCCGCCAGCACGGCCTAGCGAGCGCCGGCAACTGCAGGGGCGGGGCACGAAGCACTACCCGATGTCATCTGCAGCATTGCTGGCCGCGTCCTCCTCTCCCTGCTCGGCCTTGCCCCTAGCCTGTGTTGTTGGAGTAGGTGCACCGCAGGCACGCCGAACGCAGGCTACAGCAGGCAGCACGCCGTCCTCCTAAACGGTGTCGATCCCCGCCATGGCTGCTGTGGGCGGGTTGGCGGCGCGGGGCGAGGCGGGCGCGGAGCACGAGAAGGGGAACGGCACGCGGAGCGGGAGTCGGGGACGGCGTTGCTGCCGCCAGCTTCGCCACCTCGGACCGCCATGTCCACGAGCGCAACTCGCCGCACGCACCCTTCGGCGTCGGGGACGGCCGCCGCCGGGCCCGATCCAGCCTCCTCCAACGCCTTCGCCGGATGTACGCGGTGCCGCCGTTCGCAGGGGACTGGTGAGGACGGATCGCGTGCCCTGGCCGCTGCAGCCCTGCCCTCGCGCTCGCCCTCTCCCTAGCAGCCGGCGCCGCCGCAACACGAAGTCAATCGGTGAGGAGGAACAGAGAGACGAGAGAGGGTTGGCGTGGTCTGAACCCGAGAAATACGTGTGACAAACTATACTAATTCAATTCAATCGTCCCTATGCTACTCAAATATTATTTTTTATTATAAATTTATCATTCTACCCTTAACTATATAAAAGAAATTCAAAAATAGAATTATCGCATTATTTATTTAGGTGTTGATCCCACTAAATTTAGTATGCACTTGGTGCGTATGGTCCCCACCATTTAGTACGCACTTATGGCTCCTAGTGCCTCTTCAATTGGTTCCTTTCGGTTTCTCTACTTTTTTAGCCGTCGGATCGCTCTTGGTAAGTCGTCAATTTTTCGACAACCATTGAGCATGTTTGCTGGTTGGTTTCTGGACTGATAAGTCCGGCTGGTGCTGGTTTGTTGTGAGAGAAAAATACTGTTGGCTGACTGATAAGCCCTGGTTGAAACCAACAAGTGAACATGCTGATTATAAAAATTCTCTTGTTATTTATATTAATTGGAATATGAACGTGTTGGTATAATGTTGGTATTTGGCAACGCGAACTGTTGGTAACCTGGGCATGCGTAACGTGAACATGAACGTGGTGGCATTTTATTTATTTTGTTTATTTTTGGATCCAACGGCGAGCACGCATCCAGAAATTAATGAGTCGAGATTTCCAGCGACGAGTCTTTTATTCTCGAATCTAAAAATTACATATTATACTTACAGAAATTACAATAAACTACAACTACAATTTTAATATAAAATATATACAATAGCTGTCGCCAAGTCCCTTGTTTTCTCTTGTTTAAATACAAAGGTGAATTTTCATATGAGATTTGAAGGATGAGTTTAGTCTTCGGTCTAGTACTAGAAGGCTTGGTAGTTCTAATTTGTAATTTCAACTTAAACTTACTTAGGTACATCGATCTGAAGCAAAGATGAGGCCGTTCGAAAGAGAAGAAACTACTATTGGGGGTTCGCTAACTGACGAGCCGCTGCCCGTGTTCTCCCAGAGCAATAGCGTCGCCAGCAATGGCGCGGCGGAGGAGGCAGTACCCGCCGCCGCAGTCGGGGAGGACCTCATGAGCCCGGCCGCCGGTGGGAACGCCCCGCCGTCGCCCTTATTTGCTGCCGGGGACCCTCTCCTCGACGAGCTCCAGCTGCAGGAGCAGCTCGCGTTCCTCAACGACGACGGCCACCACCAGCTGCCCCTGTTCACCAGCGAGTGCTGGAGCCCCGGCGCTGGGCCTGGCGACGCCTACGAGGCCACCAAGGTGGTGTTCTCGCGGATCCAGGCGCTGCACCCGGACCACGCCGCCAAGATCATGGGCTTCCTCCTCCTCCAGGACCACGGCGAGAAAGAGATGATACGCCTCGCCTTCGGCCCCGAGGCGCTGTTCCACACCGTCATGGCCAAGGCGCGCAAGGACCTCGGCCTGCTCTCGGCACCCGGGGACGCCCACCTCCGTCAGCTGCGCCGCCGCGGCGCACTCGCCGTCCCACCTCTCGCGCCAGAACTCCGGCCGCTGCGGCGGTGGTGGTGCCGGCACCGCGCCGTCGCCTCTCTCGGTGTCGTCGCCCTCGTCGTGGGCGCCGCCGCCCGTGTTCTCCAGGAGCAACAGCGATGGCGCGGCGACGGACGAGGCCTTGGCGAGCATGATTAACCCTGGCTCGCGCCAGATTTACCTCACCTTCCCGGCGGACAGCACCTTCCGCGAGGAGGACGTCTCCAACTACTTCAGGTAACTAACCGTTCCTGTGTTCCACTACCGAACCATGTGCAGTCTCTGACCGGCTCCGGCGATCCACTGCAGCGTCTACGGCCCCGCCCACGACGTGCGCATCCCGTACCAGCAGAAGCGCATGTTCGGGTTCGTCACCTTCGTGTACCCGGAGACGGTGAAGCTGATCCTGGCCAAGGGCAACCCGCACTTCATCTGCGACGCGCGCGTGCTCGTCAAGCCCTACAAGGAGAAGGGCAAGGTCCCCGACAAGTACAGGCATGCCGCGACCTTCCATTTTGCCTTCGTGTGCTTCCCCCTTCTAGGCTTTTCGCTCTACGGCATCATGTCATTGACCGATCGCTCTGCTGCTACTCTGCAGGAAGCAGCATGTCAGGAAAGCACCTGCTCCAAGTGACTGAAGCGGCCGGCGGGAGGTTGATGACGGTTCAAATGGGGAAGCGTTGCGTGTTCGGCTCATGGGCTGGGCATGTTAGACTATCTCCGACGAATAAGACCCAAACTAGAGACCCATTTTACGATTTAGGTCGCGCACAGTGAATAGGTCACCTGTCCGCAACCTCTCTTCTCCAACAGGTACGCAAAAATCCTCCCTGCTCCCTCTTATCTCTCTCCGCTCGATCCCTCCCTCTCTTCTATCCCCAGCGGACGGTCGGAGGATGCGCCGCCACCGACAGCCGGAGCCCCAGCGGACGCGGCTCCCTCCTCCCCCTCTGTCGGCTCCGAGCCCGTGACCGCGGCTTCGTCCTCCCCCTCCATCGGCTTCGAGCCCGCCGCCATCGGATCTCGTCGTAGGAGAGGGGAGGGAGCACTCCGCCGCCGGATCTCCCGCTGGGAGAGGGGAGGGAGCTCGCCGCCACCGGATTTCGCCGTAGGAGAGGGGAGGGAGCCCGCCGCCACCGGATCTCATGCTGGGAGAGGGGAGGGAGCTCGCCGCCGCCGGATCTTGCCGTGGGAGCGCTGCCGGAGGAGGGAGGAGGGAGGAGGCATCGGTGGCGCACGCCCCCGCGGTGGATCCAGCGCGGGGGCCGTCACGACTGGGCGGGCGGTGCGGATCTCCTGCGCTGCGCGGGGCTCCCACGGCGGTGGCATGGTCTCCACCACCACGGCGACGGCGCGGGCTCCACCACTGTCTGTGACGAAGGCAGTGGCGGCCCCCATGTTGGCTCCGGAGTTGAGCTTGGCGAGGGCGAGGAGCTGCGGGAAGAGGACGAAGGCGTTGGCTGCCGCGGAAGACTTTGCATCTTGGAGAAAGACGACGCAAATATGCCTCCCGGTCGACCTCGTCCCCAAAATGCATGCTCCGATCGCGTCGTCTGTTGGAGCCGGCTAAAACACTGTGCATGACCGATTTTAGGTATGCGTCTGAAAGGATCAAGATGCCCAAGAGGGGGGTGAATTGGGCTAATTCTAAATTTTCTATCAATAATCAAATCCTACGGATAGCCCAATTAACCCCTTGTGCCTAGAAAAGTGTTTCTATCAAATCAACGCACAAAAGACTTGCAACCTATGTTCCAAACTTACTCTAGCATAGCAATTCTATGAATGTAAAGATAAGTATTGAATTGCTCAAAGTAAATACTTAAAGTAAATGCTCAAAGTGAATAGAGAAGGGAACGCGGCGATGTTTTGCCGAGGTATCGAAGAGTCGCCACTCTCCACTAGTCCTCGTTGGAGCACCCGCGCAAGGGTGTAGCTCCCCCTTGATCCGCGCAAGGATCAAGTGCTCTCTACGGGTTGATTCTTCGACACTCCGTCGCGGCGAATCACCCAAAACCGCTCACAACTTGAGTTGGGTCACCCACAAGCTCCGCCGGGTGATCACCGAGCTTCCAACCACCACCAAGCCGTCTAGGTGATGGCGATCACCAAGAGTAACAAGCACGAACTCTCACTTGACCACACGAAGCCTAATGAGAAGATGGATGCACACTTGTCTACTCTTGATTCACTAATGAGGTTTCACTCTTGGATTCTCAAATCACAAACACCTCACTAGGACCTTGCTCTTCTTGGCACTCACAAACGTGTTTCTCAGCTGTTGGAATGAGCAAAAGTGACTCCACACATGAGTGGAGCTTCTATTTATAAGGCAGCCTGAAAAACGAACCGTTATGAGCTTCTACGGGATGACCGGACGCTTCGATCGTATTGACCGGACGCTCCGGTCAGTTCAATCCGCGCAACAATTTCCAAGTGATGACCGGACGTTGTCAGGGTCCAGTCAGCACTGACCGGACGCGTCCGGTCGCTCTTGGAAGCTTACTGTAATCGACCGGACGCTGGATACTCAGGGTCCGGTCACCACTGACCGGACGCGTCCGGTCACACTTTCTCAAGTCTGGACCCTTACTAGAGTCGACCGGACGCTGGCCCCCAGCGTCCGGTCACACGACCTTCCAGCGTCCGGTCACTCCAGACTTGTTCTCCTCAGTCAAATGAACTGACCGGACCCTGTGACCAGCGTCCGGTCGCACCGGAGCCAGCGTCCGGTCAGTATTTGACCCTCCATTCACTTGCAACTCTCGATCATATGTGAATGAAGTTTGCTTCAAATGATCTTAGGCATTCATAGGAGCTACCTAGAGCTAGTTTTAACAAGTGTGCACCACACCTAACTCACTAGACTCAACTAGGTCAAGCTACCCGTTCATACCCCCTTCATAGTACGGCCAAAGGAAAAACAAAGTCCTAAACTACTCTAAGTGTCTCTCCAACTTCAATTGACACTTAGAACTAGTTATCCTTAACATTGTCGTCCATCCTTTGAAAACCGAAATGATTTCCATCGTAGGGGCATGACAACCTCAATTGCCCAATCGATCTCCATTACCATGACCTAACTTAATTGCCTCTGCAAAACACACGTTAGTCATAGTAATCTTGTATTGACATTAATCACCGAAATCCACTTAGGGGCCTAGATGCTTTCAATCTCTCCCTTTTTGGCGATTGATGACAATACCACCTCGAGTATGTTATGGAATGAGGTTTTTGACGGGCTTGGTTCATATAAGCTTTTGTCGTTAAGAACAAAAGAGTTAGGCAAGCTTATATGACCCAAGCCAACACAATGTACTCAAAGGATATGAATTAAGCATGAGTACAAGTAACAAAGCTCATTTGCTTCGAAGTATAAACGCGGAAGCAAAAGCAAATGAGCATAACACAAGTGATATGACATATAGATAATGCAAAGTAGAAATCACACATGTCAAATATCACAATCACGTAGATAGCACTATCACATATATATATAATAGTATGCATGAAAGTAAACACACTAATGCATAAGTAATGAGTATCACACAAATAGAACTCCAAATGTATATAACAGGCTAATACTAGATAACTAGCACCCCTAAATGTAGCTCCCCGAGACTACATACTCAACACCCTCTCCCCCTTTGGCGTCAAACACCAAAACCTAGGGGTTTGACGGCAGGCTGCAGCCGGACGAGCCAAGGCCGAGGTGCGAGGAGCAAGCTGGAACTGAGTGCCATCATCATCCGACCGAGCTCAATCGATCACCCTCTGTGGCGGGGAAGTGTCATTGAAGCGGTCTCTGGTCTGAGCTGGCAACAGGTCTTTGCAGAAGTTGCTAGTATGTCTGTCGTGAGGATCTGACGAGGCGACAGACGAGGGGAGCCTCTGAGTAGTCACAAATGATGGGTCTAATGTAGACAGACCGCGAATGCATATGAGGCGGAGTAGGCATGCTTGGCCAACTCATTGAAGGATGCTCCAAGACTCTGAGACCGACGTGTCGAGCATGAATAGCGAGGAGGATCAAGGGGCTACCACGGGTGAGGCCAACCAACCGGGACACACTGCACAAGAGGTGAAGCAAATTGAGCCGGAGGCTGTCCTCGACCACAAGCCCATTTGGGCTGAATAGCTGGAGTCGTCGTGGTGGAAGCAGGCTGAGCAAGCTAGGGCGAAGTCTGTGGCTATGGGGCCCCAAGAGCTGTCACTACGTGCTGCATGAAACCCATAAGATGCTGCTGCAAGAGTATCTGCTGTTGATGCATCTGCTACTGCTGCTGCTGCATGGCCTACTGCTGCCTCTGGAACTCGTCCCGTCGAGTCTGAAACTGGGCAAAAGTAGCACTGCCTCTCGTGCTCATCTATCTGTGGTTCTGCCGATTCGCTCAAGAATAGCAATGAGAGCGGGGTCTATCTGCAGAGCAGGTGGAGCAGAACTGGAGCTACCGACCTCTGCATCATGTCTGCGTGGAGGCATATGAGGAATAGGCAGATAGTCATTGTCAGAGCTATCACTGTACTCGCCACCTCCCCGCCAGGCTCTAGCTCCTCCTCCTTAGTGGCCGCAATCCCTCGATGATCTCATCCTCGCTAAGTCATGGACTCTGGCATGTCGGGACGATGGCTAGGCTGTCTAGGTGCCTGAGGCGTGGTATGTCTGATCCTCTGTGACAGGTTGTAAGCTAGGAACTCTGTGGTAGCACCTGTATACTCATCCATCATACCAGGGGGCTTATCAAGCACTACTCTGCGGATAAGAAACATAATCTAGTGAGCATAGGGAAGTCACTGCACCCCCTTGAATCCTCACGGCTATAGTATCCTCCATCTCCGAAAGGAGGTCCCAGATATCAAATCATCGTCTGCGATCGTAGCATTAAGAAGCAGAGGTCATGGCGAGTCGTCGACCCTCTCTATATCCCAACCTCGGAAGCAAAGGTCCTCCTCGATAATGGCCTCTAGCACTCTCATTGTGAGGAGTCAAGTCACCGGGGTTCCCGCCGACACCTCTCAAAAGGCTCCTTGAAGCAATGTCGCACTAAATCAGAGGGAGACACCAACCCTCCATGTGGACGCCTAGGAGGCTCCTCACATCCATAATGAGACCTCATGTATCTTGACAGTCAGCTCTCCTAGCCTCAAGATATCTCTCCGACCACCCACTCGTCACTCAGTAGTCTTTACCTCCGAAAGCAAAGTGAATAAACATGTGATGTGGATTAATGAAGAGTGAAGCATAAAACCGACGAACCCAAGATGGTACGTATATCCCCGTCCCATCCAATCAAATCTGTCACCTGCAAATATGACAAGTATGGCCAATGCTCTCTCCGGTTCGCCACAATGGACTCTATCTCGACAAACTCTCTCGAGATCCGAACACCGCCCCACCGTTGAGATAAGCATTGTAGAAATCCTCCCGCAGTGGCATGTAGAAACCCTCACCGCTTGCTCTCTCATCCCTCCTTGGAGGAAATCAAACCTCAAACTCAACAAAACGCAATTTCTTGAACTCTGCTCAAGCGGTGCGGCCCTCAAGTCGAGGTGAACCACTGGAGGTGGACCACGTGGTCTAGGTGGAGGACGTGATCCCCTCCGCAGTGTCGGCGCGCCTCGGCAAGATCGGGT